TAAAATTCCTGACCTGTCATTGCTCCTTAAAAGTGCTCTCATATGGGTGGAAATTGGGTAAATATGCATTTTATTAATATCAGCAGAACTGGCTTAAATGGGGCTTAATGACTTAAGTGTTGTGTAGTCTTGCCTTAATCTTTCTATTCATACCCGACAGTGTGAAAGAAGCTATTTGCATATATTTGCATATATATTTGCATGGATATGCAACCACATTTAAGTTGCAGCCCTTGCCATGTACTATGAGTATCACTGTGGCCCCCAGGGCTTCCAAAGTTGAGTAGCCCTGATTTAAAGGATAGGTTACAAACCATAGTTAATAGTTCTGCAATTTCACATTTGAGTTCTTTCAGAACTCTTGGGTGAATGCCATCTGGGCCTGGTGACTTGTCACTGTTAAGTTTATCGATTTGTTCCAAAACCTATTCTAATGATACCTTAAACTGGGACAATTCCTCAGATTTGTCACCTAAAAAGAATGGCTCAGGTTTGGGAATCTCCCTAACATCCTCATTTGTGAAGACCAAAGCAAAGGATTCATTTAGTTTCTCCGCAAGGACCTTATTGTCTTTGAGTGCTCCTTTAGCAACTTGATCGTCCAGTGGTTTCACTGGGGCTACGTCTACACTGGCATGAATTTCCGAAAATGCTTTTAACGGAAAAGTTTTCTGTTTAAAGCATTTTTGGAAAAGCACATCTAGATTGGCAGGATGCTTTTCCACAAAAGCACTTTTTGTAGAAAAGCGTCCGTGGCCAATCTAGACGTGGTTTTCCGCAAAAAAGCCCCGATCGCCATTTTCGTGATTGGGACTTTTTTGCGGAAAACAGTACTGTGATGTCTACACTGGCCCTTTTGCGCAGAAGTCTTTCGGAAAAAGACTTTTGCCCGAACGGGAGCAGCATAGTATTTCCGGAAAAGCACTGATGATTTTATATGAGATCGTCAGTGCTTTTCCGGAAATTCAAGCGGCCAGTGTAGACAGCTGGCAAGTTTTTCCACAAAAACAGATGATTTTGTGGAAAAACTTGCAGTCTAGACACAGCCTGGTTGTTTACCAAGCTTCTTGCTTCTGATGTACTTAAAAACATTTTGCTATTACTTTTTGAGATTTTGGCTAGCTGTTCTTCAAACTCCTTTTTGGATTTCCTTATTAATTTGGCAGAGTTTTTGTTCCTTTTTATTTTCCTCGCTAGGATTTAATTTCCACTTTTTAAACACTGTCTTTTTATCTCTCACTGCTTTTTTTTACTTGGTTGTTAAGCCATAGTGACACTAGGTTCTCTTATTGTGTTTTTAATTTGAGGTATAAATTTAAGTTGAGAGACTATTTCGGTGTCTTTGAAATAGTCCAATACTTTTGGCATTGGACCTTTTTAATTTCTGTTTAACTAACCTCCTCATTTTTGTGTAGTTTCCCTTTCGGAAATTAAATGCTACAGTGTTGGGCTGCTGAGGTGTTTCTTACCCCACAGGGATGTTACATTTTATTACATTATGGTCACTATTTCCAAGAGATCCAGTTATATTTACCACTTGTTTGGATCAAATCCTGTGCTCCACTTAGGACTAAATCAAGAATTGCCTCTCCTCTTGTGGGTTCCAGAAACAGCTGCTTCAAGAAGCCATCATTGAAGGTGTCAACAAATTTTCTCTCTGCATCCCGTCCTTAGGCAATGTGTACCCAGTCAATATGGGATAGATGAAATCCCGCACTATTATTTTTACAGTCTCTCTAATTTCCCTTAGCAAAAGAATATAGCAGTGGGGATATATTACCGACCACCTGACCAGGACAGTGATAGTCACTATCACTGTCCTGGTCAGTAGGGTTGCCAGATGGTTTCAACAAAAATACTGGATACACTTGACATTACATCACAATCTACATTACATCTTATTTAGAAAATACCCGACATTTCTATTTTCTCAATTTGTTTCCTGAACAGAAAGCTCAAATACTGGACTGTCTGGTTGAAAACCGGACACCTGGCAACCCTACTGGTGAGGTGGTCAGTAATATATCCATATTGCTATATTCTTCTCATCAGAGCATGGAATTACTTCCTACAGCGATTCTATGGAACATTTAGGCTCATTTCAGATTTATCCCTCATTTGATTCTACATTTTCTTTCACGTATAATGCCACTCCCTCACCCACACGACGTGTTGTGTCCGATAGATGTTGTTCCCTGGTATGACGGTCACATTGCTTGTCCTCGTTTCAAGTTTCTGTGATGCCTGTTATATCAATATCCTCCTTTGCGACGAGGCACTCCGGTCCACCCATTACTGGGTGCGTAGAAGCACATTAACGGCGTGTCCCTACTTAGCGGCCAGGCAACGCCGTGAAGCACGTTGACGGCGTGTCCCTACTTAGCGGCCGGGCGACGCCGTGAAGCACGATAACGGCGTGTCCCTACTTAGCGGCCAGGCGACGCCGCGAAGCACGTTGACGGCGTGTCCCTACTTAGCGGCCAGGCGACGCCGCGAAGCACGTTGACGGCGTGTCCCTACTTAGCGGCCAGGCGACGCCGCGAAGCACGTTGACGGCGTGTCCCTACTTAGCGGCCAGGCGACGCCGCGAAGCACGTTGACGGCGTGTCCCTACTTAGCGGCCAGGCGATGCCGCGAAGCACGTTGACGGCGTGTCCCTACTTAGCGGCCGGGCGACGCCGCGAAGCACGATAACGGCGTGTCCCTACTTAGCGGCCGGGCGACGCCGCGAAGCACGATAACGGCGTGTCCCTACTTAGGGGCCGGGCGACGCCGCGAAGCACGACGACGG